AAAACCAAAACCACCCCACTAAATTAAAGAAAAAAAAAATGCATTCACAGGTCTTGTTGTATTTAGGTTACAAAAGAAAATAGCTGATATACGAAGAGGTCAGAAGATTTTCTGCATCCATCAGTTAGGTTATACTGAATATTTTGGCTGAGGTTTTGCCGGTAAGGTCACCAACAAGATAGATAAAAGAGAGAAATAGAAACACAATGTAGAAACCATTCCATGTTGTTGTGTTCAAGATCTCCCACTTACACCAACAGAGTACTTCTTATGTAAGAATATACACTTGAACATCTCTTAAGATGATAATTAAGACCATTGCTTGAGTTTTTTTAAAACTAATTATAAGTTTAGTATTTAAAGAACCTCTTGTTGACACCATGTAATAACCGTGTGATGTGGCTAGATCTTTTAATTAGGCAATAATATATTCAGATCCCTGGGACAGAAATTCAACCACGATCACAGCAGTAACCTCCAGAAGTGGACAAAATGCTGTACAGATGTTTTAAAACCACAACAGGTCCATCTAATGCGTGTCTAATTCTAATGCCTTGTAGGAGCTGTAGGCAAGAGCACTCTCGGGCTCAGGAAACAGAAATTTCTCTGGGGTAGGTTCAGGATGAGGAACATGCTCCGACTGCTGGTAAGGACCACCAGAAACTTCACATTCATCCGAGTGCAAGGTGGCTTTTTTAGATTTGCCTCCTTTATACAGCATTTTTGTTTAAAAACATACAAAGAAAGAGAAATACCAATCCCAACCCAAGCCCCTCCACATTGCACTCCTAGTCCTTCCTCTAGAGAGATCATGGAAAACGATCCCTCCCATGGCAAAAACCAGTGACTTAAAACATTCCTGGGAGGCATCCAGATACTATACTGATCCTACAGTATGTAGAACAAAATAGCTTATCATTCAGATTATGCTCTGGAACAAAGCTGGATAGCTTCAAGGACAAGGGAGTTACCGTAGATCAGAACCATAAATGTTATTATATATGAAACAGCTGCAAGATAAATTCTTTCATATTACAACATAGGTACAGTTGTACTTTCAGCTGTCTCACTGTTGAAATACTGTACGTCTTACGCAGATTTCTCTATTTGTAAAATACACTTAAAATTCTTAGTTGCGTATGAATGAGTAACCCCTTACAGCTGCAGTGGATTGAAACAAAAACCAGTATCACACCAGATCTATGGCAAGAGCCAGGACATTGAACTACAGAAATTCTTCATATGAAACCTTCCTAAAAAATGAACTTGGTAAACAGGGAAAAAATATTACTAAAGAAATGAAAAAAAAAGTCTGTTAGTTAAATGAATAGTGCTATTAAGGGAACAAAGTAGCTTCACCGATTCATAAACATGCTGCTCACGACCTTTCTTTGCAATCTTCACCTCTCTCCTAGTTTTCCTTTTCTTTTTTGAATCATCTGAGAGAAATCTTCCAAAACCTCTTCAAGGAAATAGTCTAGAGCTGTAAGACTTTGTGCTAATGAAGCTTCAGAATTATGAAGCTAGAGGTCAAGAGCAGGTCTTCCATGACATTTAGGTTGAATTTGAAATGAAAAGGGCTGCTTGACTTAGAGGATGAGTAAAGCAGGGGAAAGAATAAACTGCAGTTGAAAAGCTTACTAGAAGCAGAAAATACTGAATATTGAGAAAATCTGTAAACTAATCTAGTTACTGGTACCTCAGCAGTCATGTTAGCACTGACTGAAAAGCAGCCCATCACGTTATTTTCTTTTTTGATAACGTGCATCAAAATGCACCTACCCAATATCAAACTAAGCCAAATAAAGGAAGGAGGAGAACGACAGAGTGACATAGGTGCTGTTGCTGTTTCAGTTGCTGACTGACAACACTGCCATCCCTTAACATGGTTTTATTTAGTTATTACAACCATCTCTCTGTAAATGACACTTAGGATTATTTAAGATTATGTTGTAATCCTTTTAATCCTCAGTGCTTTAAATTTCAGGCTAAACACCAAAGAGCAAACTAGCACTTAGCGGAAATATTTAAAGCATGTGATTTGAACATAAATCTTCTTTTATTCACCACTCCTCTGATGAAGACCTAGTGTATCGCGTCATTCAGCCAGCAAGAACAAACAGCACGGTATCTCACTGCAAACTGCTACGTTTCCCCACATCAAGTGAAGCTGTTTCTAACCAGTTCTTTTCCTGGGTGCTGGCTAAATCATCAATAAAATAAATGAAGGAAATTCAGAAGGTTATATTTTATAAGATGTGCATATTTTCAGTTACTATTAAGGAAAACTTGAAAAAAACCCTCACGTAATATGTTCATCAAGAACAGAAATAGATTGCATGCACGAATTGGATAGTGTGAGAGACAGATCAGACTTATCCTGTTAAACAGGGAGTAGCTCAATTAAAATGAGTGGAGTAACACTGCTGAAAACCTCATGATCAAGACCAAAAACCCAAATCTTCCTGCCTGAATATCATTTACTTGCAGTTTCCTCTTTTTTTTTCCCCCCCCTGCATCGATCATGTTTCCAATTAGTTTTCTTTATGATACTCCTATACTCCGTCTTCTTGTTACCATCCATTAACTGTCATATGCTTAGATTTTAAATTCCAGATTTCCTTCTTTTTCTTCAAACCAAAATCTCAGTAGTAATTTTCTATTTCTAATCTATAATTCATGAACTCAAATTGAGCACCCAGGCTAAATCAAACTCAAAATTCTGCATCTACTCCTACTACAACACATTAGCAAAACCCAACCATTGCTCCATTTGAATCAGAAAAGAATGTTTTATTATTCAGAAACTAATGAAACAAAAACCCACCAACTATGCTTTGTTGTCATGCTTTGAAGATATAATCATACTTATTTCTGATCATTTCAGTGTTAGGCAGCTAAGGTATTTAAACAAATGGCAAAGTATTACATCTATATTTAGGTTGGAAAAAATAATTAAAAAAAATCACCCATGTTCTTTTCATTTGAACAAATCTATGAATAAGTAGACTTATATTATCAATCTTACTCCCACCCACTAGGGGTAAGTAGATCATCAGAAGTGTTTCCTGAAATACTCAGTATCCAGGTACAAACTGACCTCTCTGCTTTCGAACTTGCCTTGGATTCCCTCCAGACTATCTCATAAATCTTCACTCTCTCTCTGGTCCCCCTTCCCACTCTATTTGCTCATGTAGCACCAGTCTCGTTCAGTCCTTTCCTTTCCCAAAATGTCACCACTACCGATGCCAAAGCCTTCTCCTCTTTCACTCTTACCATCTGGCACAATCTTCTTGTAGCTCTCTGTCTAAACAATGCTCCATCCCTTTTCAAAATGTGTCTTAACATATGTCCTTCCTCCCATGCTTTTACTTCTTAATGTCTCTCCCACTCACTTATTGGTTTGATGAAGACACGTTTTAATGGGTTCAAACAGTAGTGCATGAGTTTCCTTTCTCACATTATTCTGATTCAGTGGAGTTACACCTCGCACTAACAGAAGTGAGAAGAAAATGCATTGCAAAGTCTTCATACAACCAGTTTGGTAAATCAATAACAGAGCTTCATTTGTCTTTACGTTGGAAATATATTAGCTGCAATGAATCACCACTCCAATATGCATTTCCAAACAGAAATTTTGCTTACTGCAACACAAGAAATAAACCCTAGAAGCTCAGAAGACTTGTCGGTGTGCTCAGGGGGTTGCAGGAGTGAAGGTTAAGGTTATATTTAATCACCTTCCAAGTGAAAAAGCTGGAGATTGACAGCAAAACCAAAATATTTATTCTAAAAATACCTAGGAAATGACAAAGCTCCAAGTGTTGTCTCAAAACAACCTGAAGTATGTGGGGGGCATAGAAGCATAAGTCTCACTGTCTTGAAGAAGAGGCATATTTCTAAATATTGCATGCACTTTAGAAAGATGTCTAGAAAAATAAACCTTGAAAAAGTCTCTAACACCCAGTTGACCCAAAGAGGTTTCTTTTCAAGAAGTCATGTACAGCCCCTTAGGGTGTTTTTCTGTGTGGTGGGTTGTTTTTTTTTTCCTTAAACCCCAGAACCAGGCACAGTTAATTCCTCCAGAATGTTTCATTGGTGACGATGCCAAAGGACTATCTGGTAACTAACAGTATCTTGCCCCTGACATGTTCCTTTCTGCGTCCCTCCTCCCTTTATTGTTTGTATTGTTAAAAATTCTTAATGTTAGAACTCTGAGAAACAACTCAGTTCATAGAGAATAATATTTTGATGTGGCTTGATGCAACTTCTAGTGAAACAAAAAAACCCTTTCTACTAATATTCATGGGAGCTGGATTACGTCCAAAACCTGAAGATGTTGCAATAAACTATTTTAGCCCCTGGATCCTGGAATGTTAACCTTGCAGTAACACTTTTCTTGTCCTTTCATCTTCTTGGGCCTTGATCCTCCCTTTCAATTCAATGGGATTTAGATGAAGTAATTAAATCATATTATTTTCCATCAGTGAAGAATACTCCTATGAGAAATACATGTCCTTCTATGCTGGCCCTGACAGGGGTAAGCTTTTAAAATCCTCCCCTCCCCTTCCAGAAATGAACCTGGGTCATCGCCATCTGAGGACCCTGAACAGCAATAAAAATAAACAGAGTAACCGCACTGTGTTGGAGCAATGCTTGTATAAGCAGTTTGAAGAAGTTGTGTTTATGGAAATCCTTTAGGTCAAGATTCTAGGCCTGAACCCAAAGCAATTACCTACTAAGTTTTAAAAACAAATTGAATATAGAGCATTAATCAATAAATCAACAGGTTCTCAAGTGTTTAGGAGACTCAGTCATCAGAAATCCTTCTCTTAGAAAAATAGTAAACTGATGCTTGATAAAATGTTACATTTCTGTATTAGCAAGAAAAATGCTGTATTAAATCAGTCTCCAGTTATTAAAACCAAGGAAACAAAACCTACCTCTTAACTTAACGCAGTTTATACTCAAATGAGCAATGAAATGCATGCATTGCCTCTTACCTGAAAGACATTCTTTCTGCTGGATTTCTCTGAGGTCCACTCAATGCGAGCACCACACAAATCCACATACTCAGGTTTATATCCCGGTTTCTGGAAAGAAAAAAAATTAACCATGAATGTGGCCTGACTTTTTACAAATGGGGACAGTTATCAGATAAAACAGGGACAGATCAAGTTCAAGTGACAGATTATTGTAGCACAGCTGCTGGTATTACTGAAATGCGTTCATTATTCCCTGGTACTGTTAAATAACCACTCCTGAGGTCTCTTAACTTAGAAATAAGGTTCTTATACTAGATACATAAATTTAAAATTAATTAGATGGCTTAAAAACCAGTCTAATATAACATACAATACACCAAAACACAAATGCATATACTTTGACCAGATATTTTAAATGCTTACTTTGCACAACCTCTTGAAAAGCCGTTGGGTTTAAAGGTAAAGTTTTGTGGGTATTCCAAATGCAAATTTAAACTGAATTAGACATGAACAAATTAGACAAGAACATACATCGTATCTGTAAGACAAGCCATCTCCTTTCTCCAAACAAATTCATTTCTAGCTCTAAAAAAAAAAAAAAAAAAAGGTTCGAGGGCATGTGTGACACCCAGAAAGAGCTCAACACTATGGTAGCTCCACACAGTTTGCTGCTTCGCAATGTCAGTCCATGTATCTCGGAGTGACACAGCTCTGCCTCCCCAGCTCCTCCGTATGGATGCAAATAATTCAAAGAGCAGATTTGTTTGCCTGTATCATTTACGTTGCTGGGAGTTGGTGTAAAGCACAATAATCCTTATTTGCCATCTAAGCTCCTTCTCCAGGGACCTTGTCTGTGCAGCAGTTCTGGCAAAGCCCATGTAGTTTAGATGTAGCCTTTGTAGATGAGGTTACTGCACATCCCAGACAACAATAAAAATACTACTGTTAACAGTAAAAAGCACTAATAAGTCCCTTTTGGGTAAGATATGGAGTAATATCCACATAACATAATTCATCAGCTTGATGCATGTTTTTTGCTCTGTTTTTCTTAAGCCATTTTACCTTAAAAAATGGCATTGGTGATAAAGAAAACAGACTTAATAGAAGTTAACAGTGGTCAGTCCAGCATCAACCACATAATCAGCTTTCCAAAGATTGCTCACTGAATTTCTCTGATGTCGTTATTAAAGGCTAAAAAAATGTGTGTTCTCCAGGGTGCTTTTGAGATGGGTAGAAAAGGACCTATTTAGGTTAAAAGAAACAGAGTAAGATATCCTGGTCAAGTAATTTGCAGCCAGAGTCTCTGGCAGTTTTCAGTACTGGAGTTGTAATTATGTTCTCCATTTGCCAAACCATAAAACCAAAATGGTTCAACTCCTCTAAAACTGACAGTACTGTGTGTCTTTGTTCCTTTTTTTTTTTTTTTTTTTTAATAGAAGAAATATGCTGTTCAAAACAGAAGGATGTTCTTGTGGCTAAACCACTGGAAAAGCAGGGTTTGGATTTTTTCCCCAACTCTGCCCCAGACTTCCTGCCTGGCCTCCGACAAGAACTTAATCTTTCTGAATTTTTAATATCAAATCAAAACTGCAGTATTGATACTTGATTTTACAAAGATGCTGTGAAACTTAATGAGTTAATATTTGCATGACAAAAGTGACAAAGCTGAAAAAAAAAAAAAATCAAAACAGACAAACACCAACCTATTAGTACAAACAAATACTCAAATGGAGGGGAGAGGGGAGGAAAGAATTTTTAGTATTCCGGTACTATGCTTTTATAAATAGGGCTATGGTGCCTCCTTTGACTAGGTCACTCTCCTTGGCCAGGAGAGACCCCAGGGAGGTTTCCTCCCCAGGATGACCAGGTCTGCACCGCAGAGAGCAGACAGCTCTGTAACCCCTCACGAACACACAACACAGCCCTGTCAAAGTGGGTCACCTTGCTTTCTTTGAAAAAATTAGCCAAAAGGAGAGTTTGAGCCTGAAAATACTTTAACAAAGAAGGGCAACTTTATTCCACCAGCAGAAAGTCAAGAAAATTTGGAAACACATAACGAGATGAAACGAAGAGGTTAAAACATAGACAAAGAAACAGGAAATAGTTTCTTGAGAGTGAAGGATACTGGGCTACAAAATATTTTCCTCAGGAAAACTGCCATGGCAGTTTCTCGTACTGAAGTGAGAAAAAACAATGGAAAGTCCAGGGAAGTTTTGCAGGAAGATGGAATAATGAACTCTATAGGATTTTACCATCTCCAGTTTCTATGATTGTACAAAAATGTATGCAGCAGCAGAACTTGGAGTCCTCTGCACTCAGTACACACACAGTTTAATTTTGTTGTTGTTGTAATCTGGAGTTTGTTTACAGCTCAGATTTTGTAATAAGCAGAAGAAAAGTGTATGTGCGTGCATTTCTCTTTCCAGAAAGGGTGGGATGCAAGTTCATGGTATCGGAAAGATGAACATACCACGTACAATAATCAACTTGAAAACTTCCTTTTTGGAGATTTGAGCAATTCTGCCTGCGATGGAATATGAGGTGTCTATGAACACCACATGAGACTCTCGGGTATGGCACAGCATACGAAGCTTCTGATGAAAACTACATGCAAAACCATTCAGATCCATCAAGTCTGAAGCTGTCCGTCATGCCCATCAGGCCTTCTGCACCTGATGAGTTCCACACAATGGGAAGCCCTGCTTATATCCATAGGGATCCCAGAAAAATTACCTGGAAATTCATTCTGGCCTAAACATTGTTCTGTTATATAGTTTACAGTTTATGCATCACCCAGAGACACTACAAGAGAGTAAGTTAAGGTTACCGGGAAAGCCTGAGCGCTCTGCGTCCTTGCTTTGTGTTTTGCAGTCAGAGTAATTATGTTATATCAAAGTTGTTGGAGGGGGTTATGCTGTAAATTGATACAAGTGTCTGCTACAATGAAATCTTCCTAAACATGAATATGGATTTCAGCAAAATTCACTCACTAAATTACTTTGCAGATGGGCTAATAACCTGAGGTTAAAATAAGCTCTGTTGAATAAACTATCTCAGAGAATAAACAGACTACTTTTTCTTGGTCAGAAAGACTAACTGATAACAGAATTTAACATTGGTAAGAAAGAATGGAGCTGTGATCCATTTAGATCACAATGTCCTTAATTTAAAATAAAAAGCAAGTTATATTCATTCATATGAATGCTAAAAAAAGGTGTATCAAAAGCATGACCACAAAGGATCAAGGCAGCAGGAAAAGAGAACGATTTAGCTACATGGGATGCAAACTTGCATTTTCAGTAATATTTGTAAACAAACTCATTTTCTGAATCTCTCCTCTGTGTGCTTTGTTGTGCTCTTACTACTAGTAACACCAGATATTGTCACTGGCTTCATCAGACAGGAATGGATCCCAGTCTTCTCCATGCAAATCAACGGGCAAGTTGTTACAGTGAGTCCTACATCTACAACCACACAAAGGAACAACAAAAACTCCTTTTAGCTATTACTAGTTCTTTGCATTAGAATACTATTAAAGATTTTGGTAAATAACACTTTAAATCACTTATAAATGTTATCCTATCATCAGAAAAAGAGGTATGATTAGAACCTGCTTTCATTCCCCTCTCTCCTGTTGCCTTTATTGTGAAATATCATTCCTCTTATAATGATGCTGTCTTATTCTAAATTTTCACTTCACGTACAGTATTTAATAATTAATAATTAATGAATTAATATCTTTATAATACAAAGGAACATTAATCCTTTTGTTAAATCACATCATGTTCTTGCTAACAAAAAAACTGCTTTGTTATAAGTCATACTATTGTGAATGAACATTGCCTCTATTACATTATTTAATTAATGGTTGAGCTCCCCTTTTTTCAAAGTAAACTACAGCTGGCAGAAAAAAAAAATACAAAAAATCAGCAAACAAATGATTTCTAATGAATCCTTTTTGTATTGTTTCCTTTCCACTATCAAAATTATATCTGGTTAAATGGTTTACAAAGGAAATAAGCATTGCATTTGCTTTATCAGATGAGATCAACATGCCAGTTTAGCTTTTTTTGATGTGTGAAAATTGGTTTTAGGAAATTGGGTTATAAGATTTTGAATACTAACAGTTCTTGGTTTTTTCTCAAGCTATATCTAATTTGTTTTTTTACCATTGCATATAAGTTATATTAAACAAACAGAAAATGTAACTTAAACAGCTTTTTCTCACCTAATGAATGTTGAGTTCACGGCCCAGTGTTCAGATCTAGCATGGAATAAAAAAAACCTCACCACCACTTTTATTTTTTTCCCCATAATGAGCAAAATATGGGATCAATATATGTGTTTTCTTCCTAACACAGGAGGCAGTAGAAGTTATCTCACCAATGTGAGCACTGGTGAGCATTGAGACTTCAGCGAAAGGGACTTCTCAGAAGATCCTGTCTGATAACACACCTTGATTTTTTTTTTTTTGAGTTAAACAGATTGAGATCTAGGCCACAGTCCCATTCCCCAGGCAGCTCTACTTTAGTGTCTAAATCCTTAAAGATCTAATGGGGATCTTAACCATGTGGAGGAGTCTTAGAGCAAAATCAAGTCTCATGTGTGTTGAATTTTCACTGGTCCATTTATCTCCCAGGATTCAGGTGAGCGCTTGCAAAGGGAGAGAAGAGGCAGCAGGTAGAAGTGTAAGATAGTTAGTAAATTCTAAGATTAGTTCTAATAAGTTCACCTGAGATTTTTTTTTTAAATGCTATGTAATTCAACTTTAAGGAAAACAAATGATTCTGAAAAAATATTAATTCAAACTATACTGCTTTCATGGCTATAGACAAGTAGTATTTTCCAACTGTACTAGCACAAACAAGAGCAGAAAGTGCCAGATTTTACCCTTTACTTACTTTTATTGTTGCATCTATTATTTTTATTTTTGCTACAACCCTCGCCTTCTTACCAAAAAAGTAAGGCATGAAAAGATGTTCTTTAAAGCTGATTTTATGGTAGGTGTCATTGGTAGATCAAGAATACACAGAAGAAAAGGTTTGTATCACCTGCCATGGAAAAAATAGCTTATTGTTTGTGACTCCTGCCAAAGAGAGCACCTTTGTGGCCAGCCATCATGCCAACAAGATTTGGCAGGTTTGATCAGGCCTTGAGAGCCTTTCATAACAGGGCTTTGTCAAACCTGTCCCTTCACTGCCCACAGTGTCACACATTTACCGAATTCCCCTTTTGTTGCCCACATTCAGGTTCGTAGGCTCAAACTCGGCAGTAACTAGCACTGAAGGGATACATGTCGTTATTGCTTGCGCAACATAGCTGTCACATCTCCGAAGACTAAGATCAGTGGTCTTTCCTTGGGGCACAATAAAAAGGTACTGCAAATTTCACTTTGTAGTAACTACAGGCTACAGAAATTGCATTAGCTGCATTAGATGGAGTCGTAGAAATATTCAGGAAGGTTAGCGGGATATGGTAGACGTCACATTTATACTACGATAAAAAATCACTTTGCAAACTTATAATGTTTTCTGCTTTGGTAACACCCTATATTGAGGTGCCATTTATAAATAATTTATTATTATTCATTAATGTATAAGCCACTTTATAGGATGGTAGATAACAACTTAAATTCATGTATTAAAGATGCACATACATGGTTTAATACAATTTACGTCTTACAATATCCTTTGCAACAGATTCTCATCGCATCATCTGTTAAGCATTTATTACTAATGCATTTTATAACATACTTTATAATACATTATTTGAGGAAGTAGCCGCATTTAGTGATCATTTTCATAAATAAGAATAAAGCATTTATAAATGGCACCTTAATTTAAAGTGTTACCTTCACATTACTGGATAGTCACTCACCATTTGTCTCACTTTGCAATTATTCTCAAAATGCACCTCTTAATAAAGGACATGCTACGTTCTATTTCTTCTCATACACTACATCTGATTAAAAGTTTATCAAGGCATTTTCCTTCAGCTGCTCTCAAACCTTTGAAGGTTGCCAGCTCAGTCTGAATTCGTCTTATGTAAACACCAAACTTTTTATACAGAAGTAACCATTGCAAGGAAGCTGAGTATATTGAACGGTTGATTGCTTACCAGGTTGGCCAGTGCCGGCTGCTTGGATTCTTTGTAGAATTCTATTTTCCGAGCAGTGAGAACAATCCAGGATGTGGACCAGTTTTTCCTTAAAAATAAAATTAAATTTAAAAAAGAAAAAAAAAACAGTAACGCGTGCAAGCAAGAGGTAAAAGGTACTCCATTTGTAGACTTGGATTTTAATTATTTCATGTCAGAAACAAAAATGACCTAAAGTCAATATCAGCAATGCACTTCCACCAATACTGATGGAGTTGCACCATCCTAGTTATACCTGAATGTGGCCTAATAAATCTTGAAGACCTTCTTTCTCCTCATTCATGTTTTGAAGTCTACCTATGTTCCTTTTCCACCATGGTCCCTTAACCACAGGAAAACAGTGAGATTATTCACCCATGCTTAAATTTCGCATGTACTTAGAGGACTCCAAAATAGCTGGTGCCCTTCTGGTAACTAATGCTTAAAATAGATCCGAGACGGAAAAATGTATTTTCTATCTGACTATACCGAGCTCAGTAAATGGTCTATTTTAAAAGGTCCCAAATAATTCCTCCTTTCCATAAATCAAAAATTTACAGGAGAGAGTAAGAAAGGTATGAAATATATCTGAGAGAGGCTTAAGTAACCACTAAACATCAGGAGTTCACGGTACAGCCCTAGAGAACTGGCAAAGTGCTGGGGCCAGGGAGAAGTCAAAACACACATGTATATGTGAAACAGTGTCCCCTGATGCAGACCACCACAATAATCAGCTCGGAATAAAATGTTATTATATATATTACATATAGTGTGATGTTTTAAACCACCACATAATCATAAACAAATGAGTCTGATCTGATAGAAAACTATTTATATATCAACATCTCAAGATTGACTCTCCGATTTGGGGGTCATAACATCTGATATTTACAAAAATACTCATAAACTCACTACTTATTTCTTTATGTGAATGCAGATCACAAATCTGAACATTTTGAAACAAACCTCAAAATTTGTGTGACAAACAGGCTGTTTCATGCATATGTTGTGGTGCGTTAAAAGGAGTGAGCTGCCTGTAAGGACACGGAGGGCCCAGGGAGGAGCTGTTAGAAACCCTTTATCCTCTCTCTTCCGTCTTCCCTAGTCCCTTTGAGTTTTCTCTATTTAGGTATTCCTAAATAACTCAAACACGCCCATTTTTTATTCTAGCAAGACCTGGATTTGTCCAGTTTAAAAGCCTGTCGATCTTCTTTGCAGTGCTCACTTCAAGATCCATTTCAAAGCTCTACCGCACTCAATATCCCATCAAACCGAACATCAGGCATAAAACCAGGAAGTTTTTCTATTAATGACTTTCCTATTCAATATGTTTCAGTCATCAGCTTAAAGAGCATAACCAATATTACAGATGAAGCCCTAACGCAACTGGCACTGTCAGAGGAACTTGCACTTGCTTCAGTGTGGGCAGGATTTCACCCACCATGAGCTAACGATCGTCCCTAAAATATGGCCAACGAGACAACAGTGAAAGAAATGTTATGCCATGTTAATGGGGAAAAAAAAAGAATAATAGAGACACACACATTGAGGAAGAGAAAGAAATAGTAGGGTTTTAGAAAAGTACCTGACCATCGCTGACAAATATTTCCCCACAAAAGGACAGTGTTTGTAAGTCACTTGGAAATTTTCAGCTAAATTTATTACCACTGTAAAGCTGTATCCTTAGCTAACGTGAACTATGGTCATAGCTGTAGATTTTGTATATTGGCATAAAGAACAGGTCAACCTCAATTAATTATTTTTTTAAAGTATCCTTACAGAACGAGTGTTGTAGCTGAGAATCACCATCAAGATAGTAAATACAAGTTGTCTACTGGTAAGAACAACTTCAATTCTTTTTCATTTTCTCTACTTTTTTTTCCCCCTACTCAAAAAAGGTCTTGTACATGTGCAGGGAGTAAGTGGCCAAGCATGCTATGCACCTGTTTAAACACATTTTCCTATGAGTTGGATACCTTGAATAAATCTGCATTACTACAGGATTAAACCCCTTGGGACACAGTTTAGATTCAGTATGCAACTTACACCAAATGCTTGATATTATCTGTGGACAGGAACATTTCTGTGTCGTGGACACTTCCACTGGGCAAAAAGCTGCTTGCTCCAGCTATTTGTGGGGCAGGTTTTTCTAGCTGAGAAATACAAACCAGTAACTGTGTTTTGAGCTCTCAGAGTCGTGTGCAATCTTCTTAAAAGATTCAAATTTCTGATCAAACTAACTGGGAAGTTTGCCAAGATTTGAAAACATTTCATTTCAACCTGGACCTCATAAAAAAAAAAAAAAAATGCAGCTCTGTTTATGGTTCTGAAATAAGTCAACAACAACAAAATAAAAAGTGAATGCTAAGTATTTCTCAAATTGTATCAGGTGAGATGTTTTACCTAAGTTTCATTCTGAATTTTAAGGGGAGAATGCTTTAATTCCACCAGGAATAAGAAAATTCAGTGGTTTTGCAAGAGACTATAGGAATTATAGAAGATATGAGAATGCAACCGAATTTCACCATATTATCCGCAAGAAGATTTTTTCCCCTAAATATTAATTCCCCAGTTCTTTTATTCTACAGTTTTTTCACTTGAAAAATGACATTTTAAAAATCAAAACTTCATTACTTTTGGGACCTAAATATTAAAAGTATATAAACTAGACAACCTTTTTATCAGATTGTCCATAAAGTCATGTCAGTTTTTGGTTTTGTTTTTTTTTTTTTTAAAAAAAAAAAAGCAGTTTTAAAGTGTATTAGTCTCTGCACAGATGGGCATACATTGTATTTCATGGGATATATGCAGTGATTGAGGTTTACAAGCTCTTTAGAAAAGTCAGTTCACAATATTCTAACCTTTGCTGTGTGGCATCAATATTAGCCAAGATGCCACTTCCAGATGCTGACCGGCAAGTTGAGGTAAGGGAAAGGGGGATGGGATATCTGCAGTGATCCGAGGTTTACAAGCTCTTTAGAAAAGTCAGTTCACAATATTTTAACCTTTGCTGTGTGGCATCAATATTAGCCAAGATGCCACTTCCAGATGCTGACCGGCAAGTTGAGGTAAGGGAAAGGGGGAGTCGGACAAAGTCTACGCAGAGTAGATGAACCCCCACTACCCAACCTCTCTCCCTATAAAGAGCCATAAATATCAGGATGCTGAGAAGACCCAGCTAGAATATTGCGTGAATTTGCCTATAGGTACCCTGTTAAGGTTTTGGGGGAAAGCGGCTGCCAGAGAGCCCCTGTGAGGTGCGACCAGACTTATGGGGGCTGCATAAGGAACATTCGCATTCTGTCAGACGAACACCTGATGGCAGCACGTTATAGCTTCAGTGGTGCTCACTATCTCTGAGGCTATTTAAAAATACGAGATTGTTCAGGGCAATTTAAAAATATAAGTGGCTAAGCTATGCTACCTCCTCCCTGTGCCCATGCCAGGCCGGCACCCAACGCCAAGCCATGGAGATGCTTTGTGCGATGGGGCCCCGATGCGCTGGGAATGTAAAACTCTCTCCTCAGCTGGGCATGTTTACAGGTGATGCTCAGGCTATGTACGCTCAGTAAAAGCTTCTGCCAGTGTCCAAAGTGTGGAATAGAGTATTACTGGCTTCAATACCTTTTCCCAAAATGCAAGTTACACTGGTTTCTGATGGCAACTAGCTGCAGTAGGCTTGGCCAAGTGTCGACAATGTTCTTGCTTCAAGTGAGAGGTTGGACTAGGTGACCTCCAGATTCCCTTTTCAATAAGTATTTCTAGAATCCTTATGGTTTAGCACTGTATAGGTATGAGAACTTATTACTTGTCTCCATTCTCCATGCAGAAAAAGTAATATTTCACATTACTCCCTCATTGTCATTGATAACCTACAGTGCTGGTCACATCACTGCTACTCCTTTACAGGCATCTAAATACAGCAAACCATATCAAATCCTTCCATAAAAGGCAGCGTTAACATTCACATTACTTTCAAAACAGTGTTAAGCAAGTCAGTGCTGACCACTTCTGATCATCTTATCCTGGCATCCCTGTGGCATCATCACATGGTGGGTTCCTACATCCCATCCTTGACCCCTCAAGCACACACTCAGCACCTAAAATCTACCTGCTGGAAAATATATTATTAGTTTGCCTGGTGCCTTAAGCTTGTCCTCAATATGAGTATAATGTATATAATATAGAGGCTAACAGTGGCACACAAGCATTGCACACAATTAGCCCGTTAGCTGCTGTCACTTGGTTTCTGGGACCGTAATCATATATTGGCCTAATCTTGAAACAATGGCAATTTGGCTATTAGCAGCAATGGTAGCTATATATACTTAAACATGCATCAACTCTGAATTTTGCATCTATTAAGTTTTGTAACATTCACGTATAATACCTTAATTTCTTGCCACCATCTGCTATTTTAGCTTTTAGAAGATATCCTTCTTTCTCCACTACCTACGAGAAAGGAAAACAACAAATCAAAACATGTCATAACCACACCATTTATTCAGATGAATGAATCCGCTTAGTACATATATAAGAGTCTGCATCCAGGTAATTGGGGGGGGGGGGGGGAACGACACATTTTATCACTAATTCTCAGTTTAATCACCTATTTTTTCCAATGCAGTCAGTTCTTTTGAAAATTTGCAAACAATGTTTAAAGTCAATTAGTACACAGAATTAACCTTGGAAAAAAACGAATAATATTCTATTCATTGATTTAGAAGAAATTCATTTTAATGCAAGCAAAGTTTCTAGCTATAAGTTAAAAATGAGTTGAAAATATATTGCAAGTAAATTACATTAAGGTAGCATTTGATATATTGAGTTTCATTAATAGCTATGAGGGACACACCATACTTCTGTAGGAGCCTCTTGCTTCTTACATTCTAAAGAGAGTCATGTTTAGGGGTAACCAATGTCAGAGAAACATCAAATATCTGTACAGCAGGAAAAGTTACATTGCCTTCATAGGTGTCACATTTTGCTTTGAGTCAGCACTAAATCAAGGCTCGTGCACGACGCTAAAACACATCATGCTTTTAAGTGGTGCTGTCTTTCGGATGAGCTCTGGTATTGAGGTGCTCACCCCCCACAGCCCTTAACAGGTCACACTTCATTGGACATCCACATGGCACATCCATGTGCAGGGAGAATTTGTCGTCAAGTTTCCAGCTGAACTAAATGATCTCATAGTATGGTGCAGAAAAAACAAATTGATCGGTTCTATCAATTCTCGACGTACAAGCTGAAAAGGGAATTATAAGAAAGGAAAACACAGCTGTCTCGTGCATTTTCCAAAGTACACTCAAAAAGGCAAAGCCGTTAGCTATTACCTTTACAAAGCAATATGTGATATTAGCGACCTATTTGAAGGTCCCATACGCTGCTATCGCTATTACTGAAACCTGGTCCCTTTTCTGTGGCATCCGAACAGGCTAAGGACTCTGACAGTACACACGAGGCTGCAACTCCTGGTTGTAGGGTACCAACGCTGTGCTTCAGTTTTGGTATGTTAGAAGAAAGTCTTAACTTGTGCTCCTCTACATCTCTGAACGCTTTCCTTAAGCCAGAGACCCTTGCAGACACTTGATTCTCTGTGATCTGCTGAAACATCCCTTGTACGGCTGTGATACACAATTTGGGATAGGAGCTATTTTTGGCTATGTAAATTTATATTTAAAAATTTAAAACCAAATAAAACAAGATGACTGGTCTTCAGCCAGACCCATTGACCTGCTACCTCATCAGGTCTCATTAGCTCAGGATGTCCCACCTGTGTCAGCAATGCAAAAAGAAACAAAATCGTGACTCAGAGTGGGTCTGTTTTCCCTTTCAAACAATACTGAGTCAGTGCCTGACTTAGATATTAGAAACCGCATGTCATCTTCATAGTAAATTGTGTCACAAGGTGACTTTGTAACAATTTCAATAGAATTTTGCTGTCTGCAAAGCCATTAAATAGCAATAAAACATGCAACAAAAGGATTTCTAAATCAAACATATCTGTTATTTTGATTATACAAAATATCATGATATTAACAGTGTAATGTTTAACTATTTCCTTAGATTTTGTCTGTTGCTGGTATACAGCATATAAGCAAATATATAATGTGCACATATCAGTTTGTACCTATGAGAAGGTCTGTAGGTCTGTGGACAATGGTTTAGGTGACATTCTCAAATGAGTACATGAGGATTAGTGTGTGCATTTTCTATAATTTGTACTTATCTCATGCAAATTCCTGTCATGCATATCTGCCATAAAAAAAAAAAAACACACCCAGAGAGAAAGTATGCCGGGATTATTGTGCAGAGCCATGTCACTATTTATCTAGTGATGGATGGATGAATTATTAGAGCTAAAATAAGGTTTAATCCCCGTCTCCACCTACTTCTTTTTTTTAAAATCAATCTTACTTTACATCTTTTGATATTTTTCTTCCCCTACTAACCCTTCATTTTGTAGCATAAAACTTACGGTCCTTGGCCAAGGCCAGAGATGCCAAATAATATATGAGAAAGGTTATTCTTTTTAATATTTCTATCCATCTGGAAACAGAAATTGGGAGGAGCATTGGCTAACCCTTCAAGCTGTTGATTGCTTCTCTGAATCAGACCCAAAAATTTCATTCTTTCAAAGTTTACCAACCACGCTTCCCAAACTGTTATTTTGAACAATCCAAAACTAAAGGCAAATATGATTTTCAACATCAGATCCGAATCACCTCTGTTCTCTCATTTTGGGAAGTTAAAAATTGGATGTGCTTCCAGATGAAAATGTGGCTTCTCAGTCATATTTTCCTTATGATTGTCTTGAGCTAGAATATCAAATCCACTAACAAATATTGGGCATATAAAATATCCTGATTTAAATTAAATAGCTCAAATCCACCATTTGTTATAAATTAAACAGCTCAAAATTGAACAGCACAAAAATACAAGATCTTCAGTTAATATAAGACCTCTCAGTGCTAAGCAAAGTAACTTTCATATATATTGTCTTAATTGAATTAGTACAGGTACTGTCTTTAAAAAAAATTAGCATTGTCTTCATTAATTGACAATGTGCATAGTTTTCTCTGTAATTAGTATAAAGGGCATTTATGGAATTACAAAACAACTTTACCACAAAGACAAATGAAAAGTTTTCTAGGATGACTTAAAAATATTTTTATAAATTCTATTGGGGTGCTATATTCCTCTTCTTTGACATCTGTTAATATCCCCTTTTCTGTTCTACTTGTTTTCAAGAGAATATTTCCAAGATAGCTCAGGATCAACTTACAATACTTCTGCAAATGGATGATATTAGATTAAAAAGAATACCAAATACATCCTAATGATATGCTCTGTTGTTTCTGTCTCAATAAATATCATCACTTGTTGTTAAGCTGCTGCCCTTCCTGCACCTTTTCAACATATGGAAGGTTGAGAAAATGACCCAAAATGCCCTGAAGAATTAGCATAGAAATAAGAAAATTGAATTATTGTGTGGGGTTTTCTGTTTGGGGTTGTTTATTTTTTCTTTCTTTTAATTTGCTTTTGAGAAGAATATTAAAGATGAGAGTACGTATGTGTAAATATTTCCGTTTCTAAATAATAATAATAAAAGACTCATGAACTAATGGTATTAGAAACTATAAGGAAAAGTAATCAGGACTATACCACATATAGGTTCTATAATTTTCTTAATTAAAGAATTCAAAGCTTCTGAACCTACCTAATACTGAAAAGTTTGCATAGGTAAAAGTACCTCTGATACCAACATTTCTTTGATGAATCTGTATTTGCATATTCATTTTCCTTTTAATAGAAAAACTTCTATGCTTCTCATTCCCCCTAGATTCTTTTAATGTCAAGGAAAATTTTGTTAAATTTCGTGATCACTTTTACTTATAAAAATTGATATTAATGTTAAAAACACCTCATTATGGGCAAAGACAGGACAAAGACACAGTCGCATTCCTTTATACGAAGTATTAATACCGATGAAACATCAATCTAATACAACCGAAGTCACAGCAAAGACAAACTATCTAAATTGCTTTGTACCATCTAAAATTATTCTTTTTATTGATTAATCAAAGTTCCTCAAATCCCTTAACATCTTGAGGCATCCAAATTCTCATGTATTTATCCTTTAGTAAAGCATGTGTAACATTTACATTATAAACATTTAAAATAACACGAGTAATTTATCATTTCTATAAAGCAATTGCTTACCGTGTGGTCTTGTGTGCTAATGATGTCTGCAAGGGTTAAGTTATGTTGGGAATGGTTTCTTCTATGACGATTGACCTAAAAAAAAAAGAAAAAAATTGAAATATTTAAATTCAGAGAGGATTTAAATAAATGCAGGTAAAGATGGACCAACAAATTAATTACTGGGCATGCACAGCATGCATTGGATGGAGATTTGGAAATCTGGTTTCTTGCAGTCCAACATTTCTGTGAAAGCTGGTGTTCCTCTGAGCCCTGTGTATTTGAAATGTACAGCTACTAAATTCTGAACATCTCTGGTATAAATGTGTTTCTTTGTGATGTCACATGGGCAAATTTACCTAAAAATTAACCAATTGATAATAGTAATTTTAAATTATGAATTTTCCATTGGGAATCTCAAAAACTGCTTAACTGGTTAGGTGCTCTTAAACCCATTTTACAGAAATGGGTAAGATGTTAATTAGAACCTCAAGGCCACAAAGCAAGTCGATGAAGAAACTAGAAAATAATTGGGAACAAGCACATAATGTATCTGGTACATTTAAATGGTTTTAAAGGCTATTTCTAAAATCTCCATGACTGAAAATCTACAGTGATAGCAGACTCTGACTCTACAATCGTTCCTAAGTCCTGAGTGCTTGATTTCCTCCAGTTCCCTCTTTTCTAAGAGAAAGCCAGTATAACCATCTGTGACTTAACTCTGGAAAATTATTGCATTATACCAGAAATTATTAAGACTAAATAAAAGCTTCATCACAAATCAAGCACTTGGCAGAGCATTTTACATCCTTACAAATCTGCAACAAAGAACAGGTCACCCAAAAGTGTTTACGTGTGTGTATATATATTAAAAAAAACCTTTCACTGTTTAAATTCAATGTCAATCAATAATAATATAATTTGGAGTTAGGATCCTGTAAAATTCAGTGATTATCTCCTCTTTTAACTGAAGCCAAAAGCAAACAACAAAATATAGTCTCTCAAGTAGTTTCCACTGTATTCATCATAATGCATTCTCTTTTTCCCCATTAAAACAGAGTTAACCAAAAGTCATAATATATTCTGTTTATATTCAAGTGTCTGAATATAGAAAATGTTCTTAATTAATCCAGAGGGCCATGCTCAAAAAACAGTTAAACATATTATGATCCCATATTTTTTCTCCACACATTGCTTTCATGTTTATTTGTGAGCACTAACATTTTTAAGCCTTGAAATCTATATCCTAGATATTGCTCTACTCTCCTAGTCAGAGCTAATGAGCTTAATGAATTACCAGTTCTAAATTTAATACAAACATTTCAAAGAAAGAGATAAAACATTCTTCACAATTCAAAAGTTTCTCTGACCTATTTATGAAGAATATCACTTAACAATTTCATTAAGGGTGAGTAACAGCTGGTGACATGGCTGTGTCCTAAAGTGTTTTTCTCTCTTAATATTCTGCATCTTAAGCAATCGAGCTTTCATAAGAAATACTTTAGTTAGTGGCAGTCCCTCCTTTGGGGAGAAAAAAAATGTCAGACCACATTTTCTGTATTTTGCAATCTTGTTTTCAGGAGTGTCATGTTCCTGTTTTATTAGCATGTAGGGTAAACAAGAATGATTTGCTGATGCTATTGAGAGAACTTCTAAGATTACAGTCTTTCTATTTAGATTTTGGATGGAACTTAATATTAATGCAGGCAGAGGCATGTATATAAATTCAAAATAAATTAATTCAATTTATCTTTTTCTTTATCTTTACTGTTCAACAACTCTGAAGGTTCTACAGTGCTCAAGACATATAACTAAACTATTCAGGTCTAGATCACAGAAAGTCTTTCTTACCCATATCCCCCATTCTAATTATTCCTTAACATACAACAGAGCATATTGCCCAGTGACGCTTTCTAAAATATATTCTTCACTCATCCAAATTCAATAACAAGACACACCACCACTCCACAGTATCTACTTTAACATTCAGCTGCTCTCTCCAGGAATCATACGTGTCTGTTGGGGGCCCTATATACAACTTTGTGAAGTGTACAGCACCGATCAGAGCTTTTGGTCTGTTTTTTGGTTCAGCGATCAGAGCATTAGCAAAAGAAATGCTCACATTTGATACATGCTAAAGAGAATGCGTCAGAAGCACTAAATCCATCCCCAACCAAATGAAGAAAGGAGAGAGTAAAAAGTACTATTATTGTAGTACTAGCAAATTATTAGTGGTAGTGTAATAAAAAGACAATAGTAAGGTTTCCAGGAAATATGAAAAAAAATAAATTCCGGTTATGGGTAATATTATGTGCTTTAAAAACCTCTCGCTGTGTGCAAATCAGAAATGTGAAACAAAACTACACGCGTACAAGGAGAAAGAACAGACATCTTACCTGATTATTTAATGTGATACTTATGCTAAAAAGTGTTTGTCTCATAGGGCAAAAATAAAAGAAATTACATTACATTGTAGCCCAACAACAAACGAGCTCATGCAAGAAAGTCCTGAAGCTCCAAAGTCTGAATCTAGTTACAGAAATACAACCAAAATCCACAGCTATGTAAGCCAAGATCAAGCTCTTCTGGAAAAATATCCCAAATATTTGGCTTACAAATGGAATTAATGGAAATTTCAACAAAGTTCTTACTCATTTTGTTGTTTGGTTTATAAATAGAACTTTTAAAAACATTAATCAAAACAGCTTGAAAAAACTCAGCAGCAACAGACGCAATATATTCTGTAAGACTGATTTTATAAAATTCCAGCAGGCCTTATACAAATTTGGTCTTAAATATACTTTACAAATACTACTGAATGAGTTAGTTATATCACTTCCTTTATGATATATTCAGTTCAATGTCAAAATGTTCTTAGCAGAACCTGCGTGACAGTAGTCAATACACTCATGTTTCAATATACTCACAATTTTCAGTGGGGTACCAAAACATTGAAAGGGAAGCGTACGCTCAATTATTTTTATTCAGTTTTTGATAGACCATAAAGGACATATTTTGAGATTTTTTTTTTTTTTTTTATAGCTCCATTCGATTACCCTAATAAACTGAAGAAACCTAAATAATATCTGTCACAAGTCCTCTGCCTCACCTCCCAGGGTACGATGAAAGGCACAGATTTACAGGAGAAGTTTGTGAGATCCTTTTTGGGAAAGGCAGCTTATCAGCAGTTTTCTGATTTGATGAACATTCTTCAGTCAGCAACAATGTCACCTGCAGCATTAAAAATCCACTCTGCGAGCGCTTGCAAGTCTGTGGGCAAGTCTGGTTTTGTTAAATTCAGCTTCAGCAGGCCCCCCCCTTCCCTTAGCTAAAGGGTATCCATCTCCTACCAGAGTTATTTCAGCATCTAAGCACTAATCCGTCATCATCCTTTCTACAAAGGCAAAGTCTCCATTACATATGCCTGGTACCCTGGCGTGAAGGGACAACCATCTGACAACTGCCGTTTCAGCACTGATGAAGTAAAATACAATAACCTGATGTTTAATTTCATTTCTTTCTGTGTTCCCATTTGTTCTTTAAATTCTCCCTCTTTTTGTGGGAATTCATCACAACCAACTCATTGCAACTCTCCTCAAATAGCGTGGCACTGATTTAAAGAGAGACTTGGAGGACCGATTTGGATTTTATTTCCCATTACAAGCATATTTCTGACCTAATTCATCTAGTCAACGAGAAGCAGCATACTACTTTTTGATTTCAACCAAACCTAACTAAATCAACTAGCATTTCTCAAAAGGCCCAGACAAGTTGCTCTAGTGCAAATACAGACAGTTAACTATTTCCTGAAGCATCATTCTGAATTCATTTGTATCCCTAAATAATTAAGCTATATGCAAGACCTTTCTAGGTGGTTTCCAAGATTATCAAAGAAGTTATTCACTACAGATTTTTTACCCACAAACATCACGTACAAGTAGTTTGGGAAAACCATGGTTTGCTCAAACAAGCAGGACCTGGCGCAGTAGAGCTCTGCTTTGGATGAGAAACCCCGGGATGACATCTACATGCTGTTTTCTCCATCAGCCACTGTATTGCTCCACCAACGAGAAGGTTCTCATGGAGGTTTTGTTAGATTTGTACCAAAAGCTGTCACGCTGTTCATGCTTCGACCTTTCTTTTTAGGGGTCTAACTATTGTTTTGTTTCATCCTACACACACCGCAGTGGTGTATGTGGAGATTCCTTTATAAACACCCCAAAAAAAGAGAGAAAGCCCCTATTGTCGAGCCCCTAACTCCTGCGTGTTGCTCTGCTCTGGACCTGATCCAGCAAAGCACTCTGCATCGGGCTTAAGTGTTTGCCTGGATCAGGGCCAGAACACTCCATTCTTTATAGGATCGAACTTACTGGTGGCAGCTTGAAAGTTTGCAATAAAAGTACAAACTAGTCACATAAACTTTTGTGAAAGCCGTTCCTTCAACAGAGAAGGAAGGGTGATACCTGATTTAGTGATGTCTGTGGTCATTTCGTTCCCAGTCACTCCCGTACTGCAGTGACAGCTCATAATTGCTTAGATAGAGAAACTTAACAAAAGTGTATTGTAGCATTTCTTAATGGCCCCATCCCTTGAAAGACACCTAGGCAATGGCAAGAGAAAGGAGAAATCCTGTAACATTTCACTCACTGCCGTGGTCAAGTGATTTGTTTTGTTTTAAAGATCCAGTCTTGGGCAGTATGGCAAGTTCATCGTTATCTACAGAAATTATTTGGAAACAGCTCTGCTATGCGATGGTTTCTCATCTGCTGTGAAAAGCACTAAGAAAGTCCCACGGGGCTCCCCACTCAGAGACGCTCCTTTGTCATCCTAGCAGATAAATGATTTCGGTCCATCCGTAAGAAATGGAGGCTGTCAAGAAACAGTGGGAGTAACCCCCTTCCCCGTCCCGCCCCACTGCTGCAGATGCTCTCGGTGCATTAGAGCTGTGCAATAGCTCAGCAGAAGACCCCGTTCAGCCCCTGGGAAAGCTCCGGTGTCCCAGCAGGCTCCTTGCCTGCAATCGTGGCCACTGGTGCTCCTGGCTTGCTCTGGAGCCCTCCAAACACCATCCTCCAGAGGTTTACGTTAAAACCACG